GTGGATTTAAGATGGCCAGCACTATATCATCTGCATACTCTTTCATTTTGAATTCTTCTCCATCTGTTTTTAGGCAGTTTGTCTCAAGTCTTGTCTAGTTTCCTTGCTAGAACTTCCAATGCAAGGGTAAATGGAGATAATGGACATTCTCCACCAGTCCCTTTTTCAATTTGGAAGCTATTGGTTAGCATCCCATTTATAAGAATCTTGGCATGTTGCTTGGTATAAATAGCTTGCATCTGGTTCATAAATCTTGAATCATAATCTAAATACTTAAGAGTTTTCAATAAAAAAGACCAAGACATGTTATCAAAGGCTTTTTCCATGTCTAAGAAAATAAATGACATTTTCTTCTTCTTAATATATTCAATAGTATTAATCAAAATGTGGCAGAGTAGGATCATTGCCTTCTTTATGTATCAGTGTTATATGAGCTTCTTGCCATGTGGGTAATGATCTCTTATCTTTAATTTCACTCATTACTTTCTGAAGTTAATTTTTCTTCTAGGCACTTACAATACATTGCAGAGAAAACATCTGGTCCAGGTGCTTTATCTTTTTTTAAACTAGCTTGTAAGTAACTGTGATATTTAGTGTTTTTCTTTGATCTGAACTTGTTAATATGAACTTTTATTTATTACTCTATTCCATCTGAAGTTAAGCCATTTTTACACAAATTTTAAAAAAAAGTTTGAACTGGGCATGTATATCTGTCTTCACATGAATGATTCTATTGCCCTTTTTTTTTACCATGTTATGGATCTCATCTCCATTTTTCTTTTGAGGCCCTGCTAGAAATCTCTCAGGTTTATTTGTTTTCTCAAAGCATTTTTTAAAGAAAATTAGTTTCTTCTGAACTTTCTCTGTCTCAATTAAATCTAGTTGGTTTTTTAATTGTTTGAGCTCAGTTAAGCTTGATTTGTATGGAGACTTCTTAGGATGCTTCTTTAGTATTTGAATTCTTTGGTTTTTAAAACCGAAATCAGATTTTTAAAATAAGATGCTTTTTGAGGAGAAATCTATTTAAATATAGTTTTCCATTTAAGACACATTATAGTCCAAAGCTTATTCATCATGAAATAAGAATTAGTTTTTAATTATGTGGCCTGAGAGTGTGTATTTATGAATGTTTAATTTTTTTGGTAAATGAATTCCATTAATCCGTTCACAATGTCATGTTCTTCCAGAGGTTTCTGTAAGATTATTGAGCAGTTTTTCTGTGTAGAAGATATTATCACATTCTGCTTAGTTTTACAGTTCTCAAAACTGAATTTGTTTCTGCCGAGGTTACATGCCTCTTCTTCGCAGAAAAAAGTTATAAACATACAGAATTGAGAGAAAACTCTTAATTCCATTGTCCTTTTGAAAATCTTTGTGCAGAGAATTTGCAACTTCCTCTTAAGTGCTATGTTTTAAAATAATCAATGAATGTAAGATTGTTGGGATGGCATAGATCTGCACAAGAAGCTAAGTGTGAGGAGAGGGGGCAAACAGTAAAAATGAAAGTGAACCCCCTTGAGCAGAATACTGCACAAGTCTTTGGGTTTATTTGTGTATAGCTGGAGCTTTATATTATTCTTTCCCTGGAGGAGAAAGCTATAATGGCAGCAGGCTATAAAAGAGAGCCTGTTTGGGAATATTTTAATGAAGTTTCTGTATGTACAGGTAGGACAGGCATGCATGCAAATTATGTAGAGAAACATGATTTAAAGCTAGTCTTACTGACTAGTGATTTAAATTGTGACTTAAATCTATTTGATTTAAATCAAATCCTGACCAAATGAGTTTGCTAACATATTCTTATAGATTGCCAACATCTCCTTTGAAAATAATAAACAGATTAAGTACTAAATGGGTGTTCAGAGTGTTACCAAGCACTACTTAGGAAGTGTTGAATATTATGTCAGTGTTGGATATAGTAACATTATAGAAGCTTGTGTAAAACAAGTGGAACTTGCAACAAATGGTCAGAGTAGACAATAATGGGGATTTATATGTCCCTATAATGCTAAAGGGCACAGTAGTGGGGTGACGAGCCCAGAATCCAAGCAATATTACAGCTATATTGGTTGTCACTGTACATGTGTATGTGCTCTGGAAAGCCCTTGCTGGGAAGTGGATCCTAGGCAGGGCTGTGTCTGCCTTTGACACAAGCTGTGTTCATGGACAATTGGTGTGGTTCCAAGTGAGAAGTGATGTATTCTTCTTAGCCCAGCTTACATTTTTGTAGCTGTATGCAAACTATGGAACTCTGTCCTAAGGGACGTCCACCTTGCTATCTCATGGATGGTATTTTGCTTCTTTTCTAAAAGGATATTTGTGAAAGTTGGTGGAAGCTGTTTTAACTGTTCATGTGCTTCCTGGTTTGATACAAGCGTTTGCTGCTCATTTTATTGTAGTTTTAAAAAGTATTATTTTTGGAACTTCATGTTGTTTTAAACTGTCTGTTGCCTCAAAGGCTTTTGAGGGAAATTTGAATATAAAATATGGTATGTGTGCATGCCTAATGTATAAATCTAGGTTCTATTAAGAGTTATTGAGGTAGAACTAGACCAATTGCTCAACCTCAAGCATTTTGAATGTAAAAGTGTAAAAAGCACTTATGGGTGAGTGTTACTTCCTGCATCTACTTTCTTGAGCTTTTTCTGCATGCATTTAGAACCCTCATTCCTTTTATCGATTCCCTTGATCTGCTCTTGCTTCAGTGCTAGTTTCAACTTTAATCGGGCTGATTTTATACTTAATTATATGATCTGATCCAGTCAGGGATCACTTATGGAATGTTATGACATTGGAGAGCTAATCAAATTTAGGTTAAGTAGCGATTGCAATAATGTCAAACAAATCTACTTAAGCTTTAATTACACTAGAAAATGCATTGGGGTGTGTTTCCTGTTGATTGCTGTAGAACAGGGGTCCTCAAACTTTTTCACCAGGGGGCCTGTTGAAAGATGCTGGTGTAGGGTGCAGACTGGAAAGGTGGTGCACCCGGGCCGGCATGGGGGTGGGGGCGTGGTGAGGCGAGGCATGGGCGGGTGGGCTCTCAGGGTGAGGGGAGGTGAGGTGCTGGCGCACGCACAGTGAGGGGAGGGGAGGCGCAGACAGGGCGGGCACGTGAGGCGAGGCGGGGGCGGGCACACGCCACGAGGCAGGCACGTGAGGCAGCAGCTTGCTCCCTTGGAGACAGTTTTCTCCGAGTGAGTCCAAAGTGATCTCTGGGCAAGCAAGCCATTGCCTTCTTGTCCGCGGGGCGAGGTGGGTGCCATCGGGGGGGGGGGCGCTCGTGAGGCAAGGCAGGGATGAGGGGGAAGGCAAGGCAGGGATGGGGCGAAGCGCCGGCTTGCTTGCGAGGAGATCGTTTTCTCCCAGTGAGTCCAAAACAACCTCCTCGTGAGGAAGCTGCGTACCCGTGCGTGCCCCACAAGTGGAAAACATGTGGGACAGACTGGTTAAATGGGCATGGCAGGCCGGATCTGGCCCGCTGGCCTTAGTTTGAGGACTCATGCCATAGAATGTGGATGCACATCCATGCATCCAGGCTACCCCTTCTTGTTTTGCTGCACTGCATCGGAGGGCTATGGGCACATCCGAACATTTGAGAAACTGCCGTGGTCCTGGTTACAAAGTACCTGTGGGTATCTCCCTGACTGCAAAGATCACGTAGCTTCTTTAAGAAACTGAATACAAGATAGTGATTGCATCTGAACCCGAAATGCCAGACTACATGTTTTCCTCCCCAAAATGCACACAAAGCATGCGAAAAAAAAAAAAATGGAGAGGTTTATGTAAGCTGCTTTTGATTCTTTGCAGGAGAAAGGGCAGAATACAAGTTTAAATAAATTAACCCTTTGTCACAGCAGGAGATGCAGTGATTGATGCTCAAAGAAACATGATGTAATAATTTGATACTCTAATCTACAGGCCAAATGTTTTTGTGAATGATAGTATAACTTTTATCCTCTCCTCGTAGTTTCACTTGACTCTAGCCTGCTCTGTGTGTTTGTATGTGCATTCTCTGGTAGTTACATGTTCTTAACCATTTCAACTAAAGGCTTTCTTTTTTGCTAGAACTCAAAGTTTCTACTAAAAATGCACACATTGATGTCTGTCTGGTTCTTTTAGTCATTGTATATAGATACTTGGATTCATCTTAATGTGCTACCTGGTATGCATGCTTTGTAGTATAAGATTTCTGCTTGTGCTGCTGTTAAAGTTTCATATATCACTACTGTGGGGACTTGAAATTGAAATGCTAAACAAATGTCATACTGATGACATGACAATATGCCATAGTCTTGTCAACTTAATGCTAATAATTGATGTTGATATCTCTGTGTCCTTCAGCTCTGAATTCACTATTCAAAATTCATATATTTTAGTATTGGAAAAAAGTTACTGAGAGATGATAATATTGAGAAAAATTGGTCCTAAAATAGTAGGCTGGAATACTAATAGTCCAGATAGATTTATTTATTTATTTTACAGCATTCATATACTCGCTACATCTATACAAATTCAGTAGTACTGAACAATAAAAGATAAATAAAATGAATGAAACCCTCTGTCATAATAAAACTGATAAGAAGCTGTGGCTGGTTAAACTAGGAAAGCTTCTTGGAATAAATAGGTTTTCAGGAGGTGCCAAAAATGCTACAGCATTGGTGCCCATCTGTTCTCCAGAGGTAGCAAGTTCTGCCAAAAGGGATCTGTCTCACTTGAAAGCTCTTCTTTGAGTGGACTCCAGCCTGGTCATAGATCTGTGGACAACCACCAGGAGCATGCCAGCTGATGATCTCAGTGACTAGGAAGGTTGATAAGAGGGAAAGCACTCTCTTAGGTACAGTGATACTTTCCAGTGGAAAATTTTCTATATTGCATATGTCTGAGTTGAACCATAGTTGTCTGTGCTACTGTACCACCATCAGATTAAATATAGGTTGTGAACTTTATTTATTCTTCTAAGGCAAGTGTTGGAGATGAGGTCCACCTTTCTCAAAATGCAGCATTCTTAGATCATTCTCAGATTCTGAGGAGGAGGAAAAGGAGTTGGCAGATAGCCCTGAACTGTCAAGGTTTTCAAACAAGATAACTCAGATGGTAAGAGATGGTCTGAGGACCAAACTGTCTGGGAAGAAGATGGGGGAATTCTTAGATCTTGTAATAAAACAATAAGCTAAAAGAGCAGACCAGTTGAGTGATAGTGTTTTTACTATTTGGCCCTGAAACAGCATGAGCCACCCTGATGGTTGGAGTCAAGACCTTTGAAGGACGGACAGATGGAAGGAAGGAATTGTTTCTGTTTGGATTCAGCTCTTCATATGGATGATAGCTAGTGCCACTTATAATAGAGAATAGTTAATTTGATTTGTGCTGCTTGTGAACCAGTTGATCTCCAATAAATGAGTTTGATTGTAAAGTTTCTGCACCTGCAAGAAAGGGAGTTGGGATAGAGAAAGGGATATTCTCAAAACACAGGGATTGACAAACCCTAGTGCTCAGTTGCCCAAGGGGGAATGAAATATAAGGTATGATAATTGCTTCCTATACACATTACAGTTGTCTCGCTGATTGGGTCTAGACCCAAATTATACACTGAAATAAACTGAAACTATGATCATTGTCTGTTTTACTTGAGAGCATACAAATATAAGGAGAACTTGTGCTGGGCCAGAGAAAGAGGCTACCTAATCCATCTTTCTGTTCTCACAGTGGGATCTCATAAGAAGGATATGTGTGCAACAGCACCTTGCTGCCCAGGTTCCCCAGCCTGTGTTCATAGACCCACATACGTCCTTTAGTGAAATAGAACATTCTGCAACTTGTTCTGTATCAGATATTTCTCAGCTTGAAATGGAACTGATTAGCAGTGTGGAGAGAGAGTGAGCAAAACCAAACGTGCTACATCTACTTACACACACAAAGGGGAAAAAACCCTGTTGATGTAATGTATATTAGCTCCCTTTGGATATATAACCTAACAACAGAATGTTCTTTCAGATTTTTTGTTAAATATAAACTTCAAAAGGAAATATTTGTTCTTGTCTCCACATTTTTATATATATATTCCAATACAATCATCTCTCTATAAACCTTTGAATGTGTTTGAATATCACATTTTAACTATATTTGTGTGGCTAATTTTCTCCTAAGCAAATGTTTCAGTTTAAATATTTTGCAGTTACTGAGAAAACTTATGACATATTTATATTGCATATAAAAATGACATGGATTACATTTTTGTTTTGTTTCTAAATCAGAGATATTTTGTGTTGGGGAGTAAAAATGAGCTAAACATGCTAAATTAGGTAAATCAGAGCACTGGAAATTTTTCTAGTTCCACTTTTTCCAGAAAGTCCGTATCGCTGTTCAGGTTTCTAGTTCTCAAATTTTTAGGGCTTTATACACTAGTAGCAAAACCTTTAACCTGGAATGCTAATTAATTGGCAGCCTGAGCAATTCCCTCAGCAAAGGAGTTTTATGCTGAAAGGGGGCAGCTCCTAATGACAGCTGAATTTCTGCATTCTGCTCTACTTCTAGTTTGTAAAACATACTTAAGAGCAGCTTTACATAGGGAACAGCAGTAATCCAGTCTTGAGCTTACTAGTGCCTGTGCCAGGTGACCAGGCTATTGCTGTCTAGGAGTGGTCATAGCTGATGAACCAGCCAAAGTTGGTAAAAGGCACTCTGACCTGCTATGGTGATTTGGGGTTTCAGCAACAAGTAATAACCCCTGACTGTCAGCTGCTTCTTTAAAGTGACTAACCCTAACCTGAACAGGCTGTAAGCCTGTTGTGAACTGTTTACCCACAGGGTTCAGCTTTAGTGTGGGTCATCAGGTTACTGATAGCATTTGGCTCAAAATTCCCTGATGAGCATTCCTGGTAGCTTCAGGTAGACATTGAAGTACACTGAGATAAGATGATACCCTATAGCTCAATTGCCAAGGGCAGAGGAGTAGCCATCCCCTAACTGAAACTGAGCCTACAGGTTAGATCAGTGCATAGCTCTGGAGTCTATCCAATAAATAATTACCATGGTTAATAGTATCAAAACGTGAGATATTGAGCAGAATTAACAGGGTTTGCTTTCCCTGTCCTTCAGATAAAGGGGATCCAGGATTATCAGGGATTCAAGCATTCCGTCCCATAACCAGGTCAGAACCTAGCCTGGAATGGATCTACTATCCTTGCAGAATGCTTGCAGTTGTTCTGCCGTGACCCTTTTAGGTACCTTAGACATATTTGCAGCTTGGCAGTAGTTGTCAAAACCATAATCAAATGCCATTGTCAAATACCAGAGTGGTTTTTTGGGGGGATGATTGCACTACTGCTTCTTTAAGAACAGCAGGAAGCACCTGTTCATGCAGAGATGCATTATGTCTCTCTGGACTCCTCCAGTCGTATCCCCATGGCTTGCTTTTACAGGAGGAGTAATGAATGAGAGAGCACATAGTTGGTTGAATTGATGGAAACATATTGTCCATGTCATCAAGAAGCACTAATTGACATGTGCAGTAATTGACTTGTGGCTTCAGCTGGAGCTGTGCTGATAATAGCATCAAGTTCACTATGGAGACAAGTGATTTTGTCCTCAAAAAGATCATAGCAGGTCCTTGACATAACCAAAGCTCACTGGGAAGAGCATCAATATGCAGCTCGAGGATGGAATAGAGGCAGCAAAATAGGCCTTCTTATATATGCTGCTGCTGCTGCTGATAATCCTACCTGCTTTAGAACGTTCTCAGTTGTCTTCACTTTGAACGGTAGAGGTAGAATTAAATCAGTGGCTCTCCACATCTCACTGTGCCACTGTGAGACAAGGGTCTTAGCTAACATCCAATGAAAATGCCCAAGAGCACTCAGAAATCCACTGGATTCCATCAGTCCCTTGGGGCAGACTATCCAGATGAGCCCCCCAGGAGCTCATTACTTCAGGAGGGAAGTAATGTCCCAAGTGCAAGTTTCTTGAGGAAGTGGTCTGACCATGGATCCCTCCAACTTTCAAATTACACATCACATAGCTAGGAGCAAAGACCAAACCAAGGAAATTCCCACTCCATGTGACAACGTAAAGCATCCTCATGGCTGTCACGGAGGCTTTGAAGTCCAAAGCTGGAGCCCCAGAAGTAGTCTCACCATGGAACCTAGTCACCTAGAACAACCATCTTGGATTCTTTGCAACACTATACTTGAGACCATCTCTGTCAGTTCACGGAGGCTGCTGGGCTTCAGGGTGGGTAGTAGATCAGTTGCATCTGCAGTTTGCATCTTGTTGTTGTTAGTCGCAAAGTCGTGTCCGATCCATCACGACCCCATGGACAACATTCCTCCAGGCCTTCCTATCCTCCACCATACCCCGGAGTCCACTGAGACTCACGCTGACTGCTTCAGTGACTCCATCTAGCCACCTCATTCTCTGCTGTCTCCTTCTTCTTTTGCCATCTATTGTTCCGAGCATTAGGCTCTTCTCCAGGGAGACCTTCCTTCTCATTAAGTGGCCAAAGTATTTGAGTTTCATCTTCAGTGTCTGGCCTTCTAAAGAGCAGTCAGGGTTGATCTCCTCTAGGACTGACCGGTTTGATTGCCTAGCAGTCCAAGGAACTCATAGGAGTCTTCTCCAGCACCACAATTCAAAGGCTCAATTCTTCGGTGCTCAGCCTTCCTTATGGTCCAACTTTCACAGCCATGCATTGCAACTGGGAAAACTATAGCCTAGACTATACACTCTTTTGCTGGCAGGGTGATGTCTCTGCTTTTTAGTATGCTGTCTAGATTTGCCATAGCTTCCCCCCCACCACCCCCAGGAGCAAGCGTCTTTTAATTTCTTGGCTGCAGTCCTCGTCTGTGGTGATCTTGGAGCCCAGGAAAATAAAACCTTTCACTACCTCCATTTCTTCCCCATCATCAAGAGGCTCTTTAGTTCCTCGTCACTGTCTGCCATTAGAGTGGCAGCTCTACTGCGCCCGGCAGCCTACGCCGGAGGAGGGCCGCCTCCTCGCTG